AAGTCCAGCATAGAGAGGCTGAGTGAATGTGGTCTGGACTCTGTGGAGGAGAGTCATGGTTTCAGAGATGCTGTAGAAGGACAGAATACCTGCACTGTGATCCAGGTACACTCCTATTCTGGAGGACTGAGGACCTGAGACGGGAGTGCAGCGTTTATTGTACCATAAGTGATAACCATTGTCATCACATTTTAATGCCCAAGATATGTCATTGTTTCCAAATCCACAATCATCTGACCACCCTGCTCTGCCGATATTCTTGTAGGAGACTGCTACATCACTTTCTTCCCCTCTCAACTCCACCTCCCAGTAACAACGTCCAGTCAGACCCTCTCTACTCAGGACCTGACAGTAATCAGTGAATCTGTCTGGGTGACTACAATAAGACTGTTGTTGCCACATTGCTGTTGCTTTTCTGTTCCTCTCAGATAAAAACAGCCATGTGTTTGCTGTGTTTGGATCAAGTGTGATTTTACGTGAATATTTTAAGAATCCAGCTCTGGTCTTGGGCTCTGGTTGTGGTTCTGACAGTAAAACATCCACTTTGTCACTGTCACGTTTGTCCATTTCTCTCTCAGAACGTCCTGTAGTTTGTCTCTGACTTCTGACACAGCTGCTGTCACATCCTCAAAGTAGCGCAGAGGACGGATGTTGATGCTGGATGAGTCTGTAGATTCACTGAGTGCTGACAGTGAGGGGTAGTTGTGTAGAAACTGGGTGTGATCCTCTGTGAGTGAGAGCTGCTTCAGCTCAGCGTCTTTCCTCTTCAGCTCAGTGATCTCCTGCTCCAGCTTCTCCTGAAGCTCTTTGACTCGACTCACTTCAGTGTCCTGCTGGGATCTGAGCTGCCGCTTCACATCGGACCTTCTTTTCTCCATCAGACGGATCAGCTCGGTGAAGATCTTCTCACTGTCCTCCACTGCTTTATCAGCAGAGCCATTGATAGCCTCCACCTCCTGCTGAAGCACCTTCACATCTTTCTCTCTGTCCTGGATTCTCTGCTGGATGTTTTGGCGACTCACTTCCTGGAGCTTCTCAGAGGGCTCCACCAGCTTGTGTTTTTTAAAGGCAGAGGATTTATAATGAGGCTGCAGGTGTTTCTACAGTAAGAGGCCAGACAGACCAGACAGGACTTGAGGGCTTTCAGTTTTCTCCCAGTGCAGACATCACAGGCCACATCTTCAGGTCCAGCATAGCAGTGATCAGCAGGAGCAGCTTGGAGTCCAGTCTTCTTCAGTTCCTCCACTAAATCTGCTAACATGGTGTTTTTCACCAGGACTGGCCTCGGTCTAAAGGTCTGCCTACACTGAGGGCAGCTGTGGATTTCCTTTCCATCCTCCAAATCCCAGTGGGTTTTAATACAGTTCATGCAGTAGCTGTGTCCACAGGGAATAGTCACCGGATCCTTCAGTAGATCCAGACAGATGGAACAAGAGAAGGTTTCTCGGTCCAGTTTTACTCTTTTCTGCGCCATTTTTCCTCTCAGAGCTTTGATCCAATCAGCATGTGTTTCTGCAGCGTCTGTCAGCTCCTAAACTTCACCACTCGTCTTCAAACTGTAGCTCTGAAGGGAAGGGAACAAGGAAATATAAGTTATGAACAGACTGGAGCTTGTTGTGTTGGAGAGAAACTCAACTACATTTTTCTCAAAGCTTTAGTTACTAATTAATTTACTGAGTAAACGTTTTTATCCCCTTACTGTGCAGTGAAAACCATGTATCTCCAAATTTGATGACTTTGTTTTATCCTGATAAACTACTTCTTAAGCTAAATAAACTATTTAAACCTGTCTTGGATTAAGTGGAAAATGCATCATCATGAAGCTGAAAAAGGCTTGTTTTTCTGGGCTAATTTTAGAGATGGAGATACATGGTGCTCATAGGACAGCTGAACTTGAAATAATAATAATAATAATAATGAAAATATGATGCATTGCTGTAGATTAAACTACCCTGCAGCATGTAAACTAATAGTATTTTCACAGTGTGTATTAGTACTTTTCCTCCAGTAAATGATCAGAGTACTTCTCCCACCACTGGTTCTTCTGTTACCCAGCAGGGACTCGCTCACACACACTTTAACAGTTTCTACTCTGCACAAAACTGAACTCTAACTTCCTCTAAATGTGACAGGAACATTGTTTTTACACTCAGCAAGTTCTTCCAGCCACGTTAACTCTGTTTAAGATCCACAACTTACCTGAAACACCTGGAGAAACAATCAGGAGAGTGAGGAGGTGAAGTTTCCTCAGAGAGAACTTCAGTCTAATGAGGAAAACCAGGGATTTTATTCAGCAGCCATGTGGGTGGAGACAGAAGCAATCGAGCTCAGGCTTTCAGATTCAGACCACCCTGTAGATCACAGATCAACACTAGTGCAGTTTAAACTGAACAGTAAAACATAAAAGAAACAATTTAAAACAAACACGTTTTTAGTATTTTAACACTCCCTAGTTAGTTTCAACATTGTTGAGTTGGCCTGTAATTCAGTTTAATCAAACGTTTTATTGATTACAATATTAATTATTAGCCATTAATACATGAAAGACAGATCCATTAATCACTGCTGTAAAGATGATGAAACTCCAATAATGTAATAAAATATAATGAAACTATATTATTGTAAGTAATAAGTTACTTGTTCATCTCTGAATCTCACAGGACATGAATGTATTGCTCTCTCTAGGCTGAAGCCCCCTCCCTTTATAACTTATTGTAGACTGAACTAGGAAGCTTTGAATGGAGAAATGAAAGACTTGACATGATGCCACTTTGTTTTGATTGTATCTGCCGTTGGAGAGTTTTGTGCTCAGCTCCCTCATAGTCTCTATATTCTGCCAGTATCTGCAATCTCGCACAAACAATTCAGGTTGTTGTCACAGTGGTTGGAGATGAATACACCGTGTAAATGCATGGAGGAGGGGTACTGACTGGGGCAACTTGGTCTGGTCTCTAAAGGTGTGAAGGCGTATCCATACAAATAGCTGGGCTATTGCTGGTGACCTGAGGATGGCCATCAGGATGCTAATGCCTAAGTGCTTTATTGGATTAAAGACAAAGAAGATCTAGTTTTGTGTAGACCAACAACAAAACCGCGATTTGATGAGCCCAGGACAGGATTAGCATGATGTCCATATTCTGTTCAACACAAACAAAAACGGATCTGATCCAATTCAACCAATGTATTTACATTTATTCATTTGTCTGTGAAGATTCTCAGTCATCCAGGTCATAGTCATCCAAAGAAGGGCAAATGGACTTGGTTGAAGATACTAGAAGATGTTTCGTCCCTCATCCAAGGGACTTCTTCAGTTCTTTATTCATTTGGCAGATGCTTTTATCCAAAGTGACTTACATTTGAGGAACAACATACAAGCATCAACAAAGCACCAATACAGCATGAGATCTACAACTGACAATACATATTAGTAAGAGCAGCACTAAAAACTAGTAAGAGCTCATAGCACGTATGGCATCAATGGGGTAAATACATAGGGGAGGAAGTAAGAGTTAACAAAAAAAGTGCTACAAATACAAGAGAATTGTAAGAGGGTAGAAGAAGAAGAGCAAAGGAAGTGCATGTTAGAGGTTAGGGGTTAGGTTATAAAATAAAAGTGTTTATTGGAGGTTTGTTGGAGGAGCGTAGTGGCCGAGAAGGAACGTAGGCTTGTATTATTAAGTTTAGATAGATGGTGCAGACTCAGTAGTCACCCTGTATGCAGCATCAGTGAATTTAATTTGATTCTAGAGGTCACTGGGAGAGAGAGGAGGTCAGATGGACATGATCCTTTTGGGCAGACACGCTGCTACATTCTGAACCATTTGTAGGGGTTTCATTGCACAAGCTGGAAGACCTGCTAGGAGGTCATGCAACAGTCAAGGCGAGATATAACCAGATGGTTGGAGTGATGATTGAGGAGTCAATTTGTAGTTTCATGTTATGGTGGATAGATAGCTTGGCTGAAATGACCAAGAGTTCCATCTTAGAGAGGTTTAGTTGGATGTGGCAAGCCTTCATCCATGCAGATATGTCGGAGAGACAGTCGGGAAAGATAGGTAGAGTTGTGTATCGTCTGCGTAGTAGTGGTAAGAAAAGCCATGCGAGCGAATGTTCGGCCCCAGTGAGGTGGTGTAAATTGAGAGGAGAATTTCCACAGAGATATACATTCTATGGTCTTTGCTAATTACAGTGGAACCAGGGCCATAGCCAGGGTTTAGAAATTAGTGAGGTCCAGATTTTGTTTCTTTTAATAGAGCTTATTTACACTAATGTTCGAGAGCCTCAGCAGATCTGTGCTTCTGAAACTCTGTCAGGCCTCCGGTGACTTTGCTTTCTAGCTCATCTGAGATTCAGTTGATATGTATCCCTGAGACTATGTTGGCCTTCCAAGGACAGAGACTGACTGACAAATGCTATCCTGCTCTAAACATGAACTCTCTACTTTGTGGTGTTTCAGGATGAAAACTGCCTCAGTTATACTCTCATGTTGGTTTCACATTTTCTCCATCAGCTCTGTATGATACCCTGGAATGAAGACAGGAAGGAAAGACTTTGTTCATGTTTGTTTATTCATCATGTAAAGCTTCAGTTTGTTCACACATCCCATCAGTAAAGTCTGTTAAATGACTCTTGTTCAATGATTTCAGGTACAGATTCACTTCATCCACACAATCAGTGGGTTTGAGCAGAATCTCTAATACATCAATTCAAATATTGAACAAGCATTTAGAGCTCAGAGAAGTTTCCATTTTCATGCAGAGAAATGTCAGTTCAGGTGAACAAAAGTCATCCTGAGCAGTGATAGCCTCCATGGCTAAACAGACACAGGAAGGAGCTCCACCTAAAGAAACTCAAACATTTACACAGCAACTAATGACCAGACGTCAAAGTACCACCCACAATGTTTGATTGACAGCTGATCTCTGTGCAGTGAAGAAATGCCACAACAATCAGCTCTCAGCAACAAACATGAAGACAAAACAAGTTTAAGGATTAAAACACAGAATTTAACCACTGTCCCTGAAATGACTTCTGACTATTTGAGTTTACAGAACTCAGCAGTGGCTCCACAAGAATAATACAACTGAAGTCCAGCATAGAGAGGCTGAGTGAATGTGGTCTGGACTCTGTGGAGGAGAGTCATGGTTTCAGAGATGCTGTAGAAGGACAGAATACCTGCACTGTGATCCAGGTACACTCCGACTCTGGAGGACCAAGGACCTGAGACGGGAGTGCAGCGTTTATTGTACCATAAGTGATAACCATTGTCATCACATTTTAATGCCCAAGATATGTCATTGTTTCCAAATCCACAATCATCTGACCACCCTGCTCTGCCGATATTCTTGTAGGAGACTGCTACATCACTTTCTTCCCCTCTCAACTCCACCTCCCAGTAACAACGTCCAGTCAGACCCTCTCTACTCAGGACCTGACAGTAATCAGTGAATCTGTCTGGGTGACTACAATAAGACTGTTGTTGCCACATTGCTGTTGCTTTTCTGTTCCTCTCAGATAAAAACAGCCATGTGTTTGCTGTGTTTGGATCAAGTGTGATTTTACGTGAATATTTTAAGAATCCAGCTCTGGTCTTGGGCTCTGGTTCTGACAGTAAAACATCCACTTCAGTCACTGTCAGTGAGACGTTTGTCCATTTCTCTCTCAGAACGTCCTGTAGTTTGTCTCTGACTTCTAACACAGCTGCTGTCACGTCCTCAAAGTAGCGCAGAGGACGGATGTTGATGCTGGATGAGTCTGTAGATTCACTGAGTGCTGACAGTGAGGGGTAGTTGTGTAGAAACTGGGTGTGATCCTCTGTGAGTGAGAGCTGCTTCAGCTCAGCGTCTTTCCTCTTCAGCTCAGTGATCTCCTGCTCCAGCTTCTCCTGAAGCTCTTTGACTCGACTCACTTCAGTGTCCTGCTGGGATCTGAGCTGCCGCTTCACATCGGACCTTCTTTTCTCCATCAGACGGATCAGCTCGGTGAAGATCTTCTCACTGTCCTCCACTGCTTTATCAGCAGAGCCATTGATAGCCTCCACCTCCTGCTGAAGCACCTTCACATCTTTCTCTCTGTCCTGGATTCTCTGCTGGATGTTTTGGCGACTCACTTCCTGGAGCTTCTCAGAGGGCTCCACCAGCTTGTGTTTTTTAAAGGCAGAGGATTTATAATGAGGCTGCAGGTGTTTCTCACAGTAAGAGGCCAGACAGACCAGACAGGACTTGAGGGCTTTCAGTTTTCTCCCAGTGCAGACATCACAGGCCACATCTTCAGGTCCAGCATAGCAGTGATCAGCAGGAGCAGCTTGGAGTCCAGTCTTCTTCAGTTCCTCCACTAAATCTGCTAACATGGTGTTTTTCACCAGGACAGGCCTCGGTCTAAAGGTCTGCCTACACTGAGGGCAGCTGTGGATTTCCTTTCCGTCCTCCAAATCCCAGTGGGTTTTAATACAGTTCATGCAGTAGCTGTGTCCACAGGGAATAGTCACCGGATCCTTCAGTAGATCCAGACAGATGGAACAAGAGAAGGTTTCTCGGTCCAGTTTTACTCTTTTCTGCGCCATTTTTCCTCTCAGAGCTTTGATCCAATCAGCATGTGTTTCTGCAGCGTCTGTCAACTCCTGCACTTCACCACTCGTCTTAAAACTTTAGATCTGAAGGGAAGGGAACAAAGAAATACAAGTTATGGACAGAGTGGAGCTTGTTGTGTTGGAGAGAAACTCAACTACATTTTTCTCAAAGCTTTAGTTACTAATTAATTTACTGAGTAAACGTTTTTATCCCCTTACTGTGCAGTGAAAACCATGTATCTCCAAATTTGATGACTTTCAGCTGAACTTGAAATAATAATAATAATAATAATGAAAATATGATGCATTGCTGTAGATTAAACTACCCTGCAGCATGTAAACTAATAGTATTTTCACAGTGTGTATTAGTACTTTTCCTCCAGTAAATGATCAGAGTACTTCTCCCACCACTGGTTCTTCTGTTACCCAGCAGGGACTCGCTCACACACACTTTAACAGTTTCTACTCTGCACAAAACTGAACTCTAACTTCCTCTAAATGTGACAGGAACATTGTTTTTACACTCAGCAAGTTCTTCCAGCCACGTTAACTCTGTTTAAGATCCACAACTTACCTGAAACACCTGGAGAAACAATCAGGAGAGTGAGGAGGTGAAGTTTCCTCAGAGAGAACTTCAGTCTAATGAGGAAAACCAGGGATTTTATTCAGCAGCCATGTGGGTGGAGACAGAAGCAATCGAGCTCAGGCTTTCAGATTCAGACCACCCTGTAGATCACAGATCAACACTAGTGCAGTTTAAACTGAACAGTAAAACATAAAAGAAACACTTTAAAACAAACACGTTTTTAGCATTTTAACACTCCCTAGTTAGTTTTCAACATTGTTGAGTTGTCCTGTAATTCAGTTTAATCAAACGTTTTATTGATTACAATATTAATTATTAGCCATTAATACATGAAAGCCAGATCCATTAATCACTGCTGTAAAGATGATGAAACTCCAATAATGTAATAAAATATAATGAAACTATATTATTGTAAGTAATAAGTTACTTGTTCATCTCTGAATCTCACAGGACATGAATGTATTGCTCTCTCTAGGCTGAAGCCCCCTCCCTTTATAACTTATTGTAGACTGAACTAGGAAGCTTTGAATGGAGAAATGAAAGACTTGACATGATGCCACTTTGTTTTGATTGTATCTGCCGTTGGAGAGTTTTGTGCTCAGCTCCCTCATAGTCTCTATATTCTGCCAGTATCTGCAATCTCGCACAAACAATTCAGGTTGTTGTCACAGTGGTTGGAGATGAATACACCGTGTAAATGCATGGAGGAGGGGTACTGACTGGGGCAACTTGGTCGGGTCTCTAAAGGTGTGAAGGCGTATCCATACAAATAGCTGGGCTATTGCTGGTGACCTGAGGATGGCCATCAGGATGCTAATGCCTAAGTGCTTTATTGGATTAAAGACAAAGAAGATCTAGTTTTGTGTAGACCAACAACAAAACCGCGATTTGATGAGCCCAGGACAGGATTAGCATGATGTCCATATTCTGTTCAACACAAACAAAAACTGACCTGATCCAACCCAATGTAATTACCACAAAGATAAACAGTATATGAATTGTAGTATATAAATTGGTGAAGTTCAGATATTTTGTTTCTTTCAATAAAACTTATTTATTGTGATTTAGACTAAACTTGAACACCAAAGACATGTTGGCAGATTTGTTTTATTCCAGCTGAACTATTTGCTCTTCTTGTATTTGTGACATTAATCAAACTAAACTGTCTTAAATTGCTGTAAAATCATCATCTCTTATTTAAAGTGTAAATAAAGGAGGGCAAACTAAAGTGAAACCTCCAGTAAGAAAGAATCAGAAGCTGTTGTTAAATTTGTAGGGTTAGTTCCCGTAGAAGTGTCTACCTCTCGTCTTGTTGTACATGATTTATTACCCCCTTTGATTTCCTGATGCTTGGGCCTGTGTGTGTATTTATTGTTAGCACCTTTGGTCTGCATCAGATTATTAGCTAGCATCTTGTCAGTGACAATGTCAGTCCCTCGTGTTCGGTTCATTGCTTTTCATTCGGACTTTAGATTCTTTTGGCCTAATTTTGGTTTCTTTGAATTGTAGATTATAATTGTTACCGTTCAGGATTACTGTAATGTTTGCTTTTAGACACATCAAAGCTGCATGGGGGAAATTTACTTAGAACAGATCGAGTTTATCTGTTGGTTATGACTTAAATGTTACCCAGCTGCTCATGTAAATGTGTGATAGAGTAATGCCATATCTAATTCATCTCTATTAAATAAGTTTCAGGTCCAAAGAAGGCTATTTACACTTATTACTGTTACTGCACTGTGGATTGGTTCAATTTGAGTGTGATTTTGCTCTGTAGTTTCCCTTACATACAAACATACATACATATCTAATCTTTTGAAGGATCCTACTTAAAGTAGCTACCGTCCGAATTTAATAACTTAATGGTGTAATATATGGAGTAATGATTTCTATATGTATGGATGATTGCTTTTATTTTACTATATTTTCATGTGTGTATATCTGTGGGTATATAACATAGCCATTTAGGAAACATCTTCATTTTTATTTAATTTATTACAGCCAATGAATGCAGAAAGTTAATTGGGTCAGAATATAGCAAATATTATCAATATCATGAAATAATTGAGTTTACGGTATGCTTTGGTGCCTAGATCAGCCTTAAACCTGTAGACCACTACTGTCCTTTAGACCACTACTGATCTGTAGACTACTACTGACCCTCGAATTAGCTGCCCTTCCAATCCTCTGCTTCTTTCTCTCCTAAAACATCTTCAAATATCCATCCGAATGAATAGAAGGATATGCCGGTACAACAGCATTAACAGGGACACTATGACATTTAGTTTTCACTGAAAACAACATTCTATGGGGACTTAAATTGTTTTGAAATAGGCTACTAGAGATAGGTATTAAAGGTGTTGAAACTACCAACACTAGTGTTTTACAGTGTTTGTTGCCAACTAAAATATCCCATTTCCTTTACCTCAAGTAAATGTAGCTTAAATTCAGCAAGTAACAACAACTTTTCACTCTGTACCACTCACTAGTTCCTCCTGTGTGTGTGTCATAATGTTGCTCAGCAGCTGGTAGAGCAGAAATGCAGCCTCCCTCAGGGTCCTAGTGCCTGACCACAAGAAGGATTTAAATTGTGAAGCAGAGGAAGCAAACAAACAATTATTTTAAGCCAATAAATAGAAATTATATTTGCATTATTCTATAGCATTTATCAATATTCTTGCTTATCTTTGTTTAGTACGTGTCTGCAGTGTAAATTTTAAAAAATCCATTAAAAAAAATCTAAATCCAATTTTTATTTTTCTTATTGTTATTTAGGGGGGCTTAGGACCATGTCAGGGTAGCTTCAGCCCCCCTAAAATAGGCCTAAGGATGTCCATTCCTATGATGTAATAAACGATAAACACTGTGAAATTGAAATCCTCTGTCTAGTTTAACACACTTCTCTGCCCTTCTTTTTCAGCAGTTACCCACCCAAAACCCTACGCAGAGTCGCAGTCTAACACACTTCTCTGCTCCTCCATTTCAGGAGGTACTTAGTGAAAATCCTATAGTGACGGTGTCTGTCCCCCGACCATCGAAATTATTTAAAAAGGTAAACAGAAGAGGAGCTGTGCATAAAAACCTTATAAAAATTAAAACCACAAGAGCAATAGTGCAAACAAATAGGAGAGTTAAATGTGGACTCTTAAACATCAGATCTCTCTCTTCTAAAGGTGTACTAGTAAATGAACTAATATCAGATTATGATATTGATTTATTTGGTCTTACTGAAACCTGGCTGGGTGATGGAGAATATGTTAGCCTAAATGAATCCACCCCTCCCAGTCATATTAATACTCACATTCCTCGAGGCACAGGCCGAGGAGGTGGAGTTGCAGCTATCTTCGACTCTAGCCTACTAATCAGCTCTAAACCTAAACCAAACTATAACTCATTTGAAAGTCTTGTTCTTAGTCTTTCGCACCCAAGTTGGAAATCACTGCAACCAATTCTCTTATAGTGTACCGAGCACCTGGCCCGTATTCTGAATTCTTATCTGAATTTGCAGAGTTTTTGTCAACTTTAGTCCTTAAAACGGACAAAGTTATTATTGTAGGGATTTTAATATTCATGTGGACGTTGAGAATGACAGCTTTAGTACTGCGTTTATCTCGCTGTTAGATTCCATTGGCTTCTCTCAGAGTGTTCATGAACCGACTCACTGTTTTAACCACACCCTCGACCTTGTTTTGGTGTATGGTATTGAAATTGAACATTTAGTGGTGTTCCCACAGAATCCCTCTTTGTCCGACCACTGTTTGATAACTTTTGAGTTTGTATTGCTGAACTACTCGCCATTGGGCAAAAATTTCTATACAAGATGTCTGTCTGATAGTGCTGTAGCTAAATTTAAGGATGCGATTCCATCAGCTCTAAATACATTATCTAGTCACAAAGTAACGGAGGACTCCTATGCTAGTTTCAGTCCCTCCCAAATCGATCATCTTGTTGATAGTGCTGCAGGCTCACTGCGAATGACACTCGACTCTGTAGCCCCTCTAAAAAAGAAAATACTAAAACAAAGACGGTTAGCTCCATGGTATAATACTGAAACTCGCAAATTAAAGCAAATATCGCGGAAACTTGAGAGAATTGGCGTTCCACCAAAGTGGAAAATTCTCGTTTAATTTAGCAAGATAGTCTTAAAACTTATAGGAAGGCCCTCCGTAATGCTAGAGCAGCGTACTACTCGTCATTAATAGAGGAAAATAGGAACAACCCCAAGTTTCTTTTCAGCACTGTAGCCAGGCTGACAGAGAGTCACAGCTCTATTGAGCCAAGTATTCCCATAGCTCTCAGTAGTTACGATTTCTTGAGCTTCTTTAATGATAAAATTCTAGCTATTAGAGACAAAATTCACCAAGACCTGCCCTCAACTGGCACCGACTTATCTCTTAACTCAGGAACCTTAGAAACAGCTGTAGAACCAGATACACGTTTAGACTGTTTTGCTTCCCTCAATCTTTACCAACTAACTTCAATAATTTCTTCATCTAAACCATCAACCTGCCTCTTAGACCCCATCCCGACTAGGCTGCTTAAAGATGTTTTACCCTTAGTCAACACCTCTATACTAGATATGATCAATCTATCTTTATCAACAGGCTATGTACCACAGTACTTTAAAGTAGCTGTAATTAAACCTCTTCTGAAAAAGCCCAAACTTGATCCGGATGTTTTAGCCAACTATAGACCTATATCTTACCTTCCATTTCTCTCTAAGGTTCTGGAGAAAGCAGTTGCTAAACAGCTGTGTGACTTTCTACAGAGCAATAGTTTATTTGAGGATTTTCAGTCAGGATTTAGAGCTCATCATAGCACAGAGACAGCACTGGTGAAAATTACTAACGACCTCCTTATTGCTTCAGACAAAGGACTTGTCTCTGTACTGGTTTTATTAGATCTTAGTGCTGCATTTGATACCATTGACCATCAGATCCTATTGATCAGAGACTGGAATATTTCATTGGCATTAAAGGAAGCTGGTTTAAGTCCTATTTATCAGATCGATTCCAGTTTGTAAATGTTAACGATGAGTCCTCCATGCACTGTCCTCGGACCAATCCTCTTCACTTTATATGTCCTCTTCCCAATC